GGATGGAAGGCTGAGTCAACCTTGAGCCGGTGAGATTAGAACCGCTGAACTGCAGATAACAGTCAGCTGAAGTGGCCTGCAGTACTGCACCCTCGGATCTCCATATGACTTTCTGCCAGTCCCAACAAGCAGTCGGTGAGGAAGTCACAGGTCCTAAACAGCTCATAAACAGGCTGTTAGGCTGATTAAATGCTATATTAGTGTGATAAGGAAGAGTGAGAAAAGAATGCCTAGAAGTAAGAATAGAAAGATGCTAGGCTGGCTACAAGAAACATTTGGAAGCTATTACTTCTGCCAAAGGATTACAAAGCATTGGTCAAAAGGTATACAAACTTGTAATACCTGTCATATTCATTATTTTCTTATTTTGAGTCTATAAGCAATTGTCCATAAATAACGGGTACACATTCAAATTTTCACAAAGATATTATGCCTAACTTTATATCCATGTAGTTATGGTCAGCTTTTGTTCCTCAGGGGTGCCTAATCTTCTGACAAAACTATATTTGCTTTGCAACATGATCTTCAGTCATTCTCTCTATATGACCAAACCATCCCAACATACTTTTGTTGTATTTTACTGGTTACTTTTATATTCAAAATTCTTTCCACATTCATACATTCTTGAATCAATCACTTCTAGTTTTAGTATACACACTTAAGCTCCTCAGGGCCGCGGCATTCATCTTTGATATTTTTCACAGCATACTCCCAGTTCCACAAAGTGAGCAGAAGCATATATTCGTAATACAGCTCCTTTCCTTTCTCTTGAAAAAATCATTAACATTTACAAGCGGAACATCTACAACTGTTTTTACCCATTCCTCTTTTTGATTCCTGTGGAATCTCTCTGCAATCTGCAGTGACGTGGTTTTGATATGAACCTCAGTGCATTCCTAACTCATAATTTCTCAACACATACCAATTGCAGATCAAAGAAACAATAAGGCAAAAATATGACAAACATTTTACTTTTCTGTGCTATAAAACTGGATTAGCTTTCCCCCCTAAAGATAAGGTACAGCTGCACTTAGACAACATCAGAAACATCTGTAGTCCTCTTATAAACGTACTCAAATATAACCTCTACCAAAGCAAAAACATGAACAGGCAAGTATTTTGGCAATAAGTAACTTTATAATTACTTCCCAAGAAGAAATTCATTATCAAGAAAGGTAGGCCAACAATTTTGATTTAAATAGAAATGCAGACAAGTCAATATCTTTGTTCTTCAGTATACAAGTATGGTATAATGAATTTTTAAAACTGCCAGCATTTGTAGATAATATCAAAGAAAACTCAGTTACATTCAAAGAAAACATTTAATAAATATTTTTCAAAATATAAAATAATGATAATGTGAGTAGAAAGTTTCAACATATAACAAAATCTTCATAAAGGTTCCATTAATTGCTCCATTTACAGCTATTATTTTCTTAAATTGTGAATTGTATTTATTCATTACATGTACATTTTCTAGTATTTAAAGTTCAGTTTTTATACATATACAGCTCCAAAGGATAACAATATGAAAAAAATGCATAACAATATGAAAAAAATGCACCATTTACTCTTTTGCCTCAGAAGTAGAGGTCTAAGCCACACCTTTTAACGAAAATATGAAAAACCTCAGATATGAGCACCAGATGCGTTTGGGCAGGTGAGGGAAGCATACTGTCTCAACAATCTCTAATTTCATTTGGAATTAACCACAGACAAATCTGAGGGAAATTACTGTTACAATCTACAAATTGCTTTCTTACATTATCTACATGAGCCATTTTAGGAGATGATAATACATTTATCTTTTGACTCCTATGCTGAAATCTGAATCGCATTTCTCCAATCAAAAATCCTAGGCATATATTACAACATGTAAATCAGTTTCATGGCACAATAAAGTAGGACCACAGTTCTCATCCTGTCATAACATTTTGACCTCATGATGGATCCGCCCTCTGACACTACAAACGAACAGAATGCTTTACAACTGGCTAATCTGAATAGATCTTAAAAAGTGCCAGAGTATCAACTGTTGGATTTTAAAGAAATTCATCCAATGAAAAAGAGGACACACTTTTTAGTAACGTAATTGTTTCTATTTTCCTAGAAGATTTTTACTGCCTTAAAAAAAAAATCACTACAGCCTGGATACGTATTTCAGACATCATAAAATGACATATCATATAGTAAGTATGCCTTTTAGAAATCATACAACCTGGACTGTAGCTCTAGTTTGAAAGGACAGTCACCATTGCACAGCAGCCATTTGCAGCTGTTCTTCCATATCCTATTTTTTTTATTTATTTCAATCGGTTTTTCTTTTATTGTTTACTTTCAACAACTGCTTCCTGGTCCAAGTGCTAGTGAAAGTGGTAGTACAGGGGGAAAACGCTTTATATGCCCGTGCTCAGAAAACTAAGGAAATAATTCTGCATGTATCACTAATCCATCAAAAGACATTATTGTACAAAAGAAATATTTTTAAAAGTCAACAGCCAGGCACTGAACACTGCTTTAATTATACATGCGTGCACTTTTGTACATACTTATCTCTGGGCTTCTTTGGAAAGTGGAAAATAATGTTCCCTAATTATCAGAAATCCCCAGTAAAAAATACTGAAAATGAAAAAAAAAAAAAAGGTAGCAACGTATCCAAGGAAGCCAGAGGAGGCGGGAAAGCTCTAGTGCTTGATATAAATTGGGGAGGGGAGGGGAAGGGAGAAAAACCCATCGAGCCGGGAAAGAGCGGTCTAGAAAGTTTCTGCCAACAGCAGCTGAGATGCTTCATCACCAGCCTATTTTCCAGACATTGTGTTTCATATGGCTTCAAGGGTCACATGACAGCTGCAAACTAATGCCTTGAGGTCTGTTTCTGCCTCTCTATGACACTGGCAGGCTGTGAGAGACTCCAATCCCACAGAAAAGAATGTTTCCCCCTTTTTTTTCCATTACATCATGCAAACCGGTCCTGGGGGAGAAGGGAGAGATTCACAGCTGGTGGCAGCTGCAGTACCATCTGCTTTAGTTTGCTTGGCAGATTCCTACCGAACCTCTTCTGGGGAAGCACGCCTGTATCTCAACACAAAACACCCCATTGTGCAAAAAAAAGAGATATTTGCAGATTGTGGAGGAGTGAGCTTTTCGCTAAATGGTCAGAAACAGAGGCATCAGGTGAGGGTTTCTAATCATAGGAAAAAGGAGCCTATCACACAAAAGACAAAATTGCTAAACACGCCGTGCTTACGGGAGAAACAAGGCCGGTGCCATAACCTGCCATCTGCTTGCCACAATGCCAGGATGGAAAAACTACAGTCAGCAATAATTTTGAAAAGGGGGAGAGGAAGAGAAAGGGAGGAGAAAACAGCTTAAGCCTTCAAAGATAGAGATTAGCTGGAGCAACTTGGGAAAAAAACTGAAACTAACAACTTAGCCCTAGATGGGAAAAACTTCAAATATATTTATGAATACTGTCAGCACATCTGATAATTTATGGGAGCCCCAGCTGGAAGAGAAGATTTTGCAGGCACTCACTGTGATAGTCAGGGAACTTCACCATAAACTATTAGCAGAAAAGGAGGTTTTATCTACCTCCTTTGCTCGTTGTGGTATGCATTGCCAACCCCTAAGTTGCATTTTAGTTGTGAAAAGCGCTTTCCATATTTAGTAAGTATGAATACTGCTTGCTTGCTGGCTTGCCTTAATCATGTTACACTCTTGGAATATGTTTAAACTTTTGTGGAAGACTTCAGAACTAATGCAAACTTTCTACTTATCATTACACAATACACAGTTCAGTGAAGGTTTTTTAAAAATCTAATTACAGAGGAATAAGAAGTGGGGAAAATTGCACAACGCAACAAGCATGAATGATCAACAGTAGGCTGCCCTTATTGCCATAATTCATTTGTTGAAAAAGCAACTTCCCTGCAGTAAAAGGCTGGTATTTTGGAATACATGTACAACAGATGCACCACAAATGAATTGTTTCGGTTCTGATATAAACAACAGGCAAGACCTCTGATTTCAGGAACACTCCTGTCAACTTCCAACACTTTTGTCTCACATCTCTAGACAAGAAGCTTCAGGCAATGTTCACTGAATTGTTTTCAAAACTGTCTGGATTTGTAATGACTTACCATACATTTTGCCTTCATCAGACAATATGATTTTCCTCCTCCCACAAGGGGGATATATAGCTAGGGCCTCCTGAAAGCTCTGCTCAATATCTGGGCTCCAGACCCCTTCTGCGTCATTGTCAATAGGTTTATCTGCAGAATCACTCATTCTTTCAATGTCCTCGGCAGGACTCTCGCTGCCGCTCCAGCTGCTGGGCTCAATGGTGGTGGCTGGTTGGTCCAAGCCTTAGCCTGGAAGCTTTAAGAGAATTAACCTAAAAACAATAAAGAACAGTTTCAGGTGAAATTTTCTTGGTTAGTTTTAATAATTGATAGAACAAAAGCACAAGTTGTACTTAGAGATGTAGAGAACTAAAGAAAATTAGTCAAGTTGTATTCTTCGTAAAGCAATAGAAGGGCCAATATCCATTATTTCTGAAATTAATAAAAACTGTAATCAATACACATAATATTTCAGAATATACTAATTACACTGAATAACTAATGGGTTCTAGAAATTTAGAACTGGTCCCTTTTAGGAAAAGGAAATATTTCTTTTAAAATGGGAAATTTGTTACTTTAATTCATCTCAAACGATCGAGGAATTTTGACACAAATGGAAAACCAGTATACTACAACTGAAGAAACAAGAAAGTGACTAAGCCATTGAAAATAAATCACATAAAAGAGGCAAGGAATAACTAGACCAGATTTTTTAACTGTATCAACTACAGAACAAGAGATGTCTCTTCTTTCAGATGTGCAATCAATTTATTATGAAATAATCTAATACGACAACACCTGCTAAGTCCACTCGGCTCACAGACATTTCATTGCTTCTCTCTTATTTGGGGGAAATGTACTGCTGATACAAAGGTGTGCTCTAGGCAAAAATCTGCTCTGCCAGTAGGGCATCACAGTGGTAAGCCTGAAGAATACAGTGCAGAAGCACCAGGAATGGATTTATCACAACCTGCTGAAGCATTGCTGATTCTTATTAGGGACAAATCATACATGGACAGACTAAGACTACTATAAAAGATAACTTCCAGAAATGTTTGCTCAAATGTTCACATCCTTTTTTTTTAAAAAAAAAATCTAGGCAAATGATCTAAGAAAAAGTAGTAAAGTTTTTGTTTCCTCTTCTTTTTTCACAATGCAGAGGAAAATACGGGAAATAAACCAAACCATTTGTTTAACACTACTGCATATTATGAATTAACCCTCCGCGAGTGATTTAGATTTGCCTCAATGAAGAGACATGCCCTGGAGAAACATAATTCTCACTGAAGCAGAGATAAATTGATTTGCTCCAATGAAGCCCTTTGTGTTCTCTTGGCATTTCAATTCCCCACCTGCCATTTTGCCAATGTCAGAAGCAGCTTCCACGTGCCTGTCCCAAAACCTCGGTGGTGAGGGCAGGCCAAAGAAGGTGGAGTGTTGCTTTGAGGAGGTAAGCTGCGAGGGGCTCCAAAACAAAGCAAAAGTTGCAAGCACAGCATGCTCTCCTCCTTCTGGGTGACAACTTAGCAACAACCTCCTACATGGGTGAAAGGAGAGCTGCTGGCCACAGCAAGTCTCTTGGGTACAAATTAAGTTCTCGGGAGCTAAACAGTGTTTAAACAAATCCCTCATTTTGGCAAATGCTGATATTTTACAGATGCAAACATCCTCTTTTGTGACAAATAAATAGCTTCTGTTTATCTCCAGAGAACTTGGTGATTAATCACTTCAAGCTCAGCTTTATGTATGAAGAGCCTAGTTGCATTTTAATCTGGAGTGAATCACTAGTATTGTGCAAAAGTAACCTTTGCATCATCTAATGTTTAAATGTCTATTACACTTTTGTGAGGGAACAGTCACTATTAAAACATTTCTAGATTAAATTTCAGAGAGGTTTTTTTTTTAAGTATAACTAAATAGCTTACGTACACTACAATTTGAACCAGGTGGGTATCTTAGTTGAGTATTTTTAATACAAATTCACACATGCAAGATCATGATGTACCCAGGTGAATTAGATGCATATTAACTGAATTTAGTTTCCAAAACTGGAAAAAATATACTCTTCAAACAGTAATCTAAACAGCTTCAGCTAATTAATTTGCAGGAGAGTGCTTCTGATCCCACAGCAGAAACCTGACAATCTTTAAAACAAGTAATTTAAAACAATTTTGTTTTTATTTACTGCACAATCCAAATATTTTCAAAGCACCTTATTATCTTTGTCTCTATAGTCTTTTATTTCTGCCTTGGTTCTCCCACTCATCCCCTTTCTAATATTGTGTGTGAAATATTTGGGTTGCTAGATGCGCAAGCTACTTCTGGAACTGTGAAACGTTCATTTCCTTTTTGCAAACAGATCCAGTCCATTCTCTATCATTTCTTTTGTATGTGTTGCAAACTTAATGAAAATTTGGGGTCTCACTTCTACATTCAGTTCAATCCCTGGATTGGATCACTAATAAGCTATGCTTTAATTACATGCAAATGGCTGAGGCTTGGCTTGCTAATAATTAACTTACCCTATTTATTGTAACATGACTTAGTCGATATGTAACCTATTGTTAGCTAAGCAGGTCAAAATAGCTGGTAAAAATAGCTCAGTTCTCATTGTTTGCAATTAGAAAGGAAAGAAAAATGTTTTATCATCCAGATCACTTTTGGGTTGTTTTCAGTACAGCAGGGGTGGGTTTGAACCGGTTTGCGGCGGTCCCCGCAAACCAGTTGGTCGGCAAACCCAGAAGTAAGTAACTTCCGGGAACGGTGAAGGGCCCGCCTGCCCGCCCGTGCTCCTTACCCGGTTTTGACGAGTTCTGCGCTTCCACGTATGTGCAGGACGCATACAGCGCCTGCGTGATCCTCCAGGAGCAGCTGGAGCATCGCACAGATGCTAGTACGCATGCATGCACTGCGTGCGTGCACGAGGACGCCGCCGGCCCCATTCCAACCGAACCGGTTGGAACGGGGCGAGAAACCCACCCCTGCTTCTGAGGTGGGTGAAATGAGGACCCAGACTGTGGGGGCAATATGCTGACTCTCTGTAAACCGCTTAGAGAGGGCTGAAAGCCCTATGAAGCGGTATATAAGTCTACTGCTATTGCTATTGCTATTACCAGTTTTGGCACACAACTGAGGCCCTCCCATTTGTTTGTGATGATGCTACTTGCATAAGGAGGCTGAAAGAAAATACTACTTCAGATAAATAAATATATGTAGGTATTCCTGAAATGTTTGGCTTTTGTCATTTCTTTTCCTAAGCATGTAGTGCATTGTTTTCTTAATTACTAGGCATTGTCCAAATATAAAGGTTCAAGAGAAGAGCCATAAAGGTGATCACAACCACATAATATCCTTATCCCGATTTGAGTTGGGGAGTCAGAGAAAACTGTGTACATCAGCTGCATAAAACGTACATTGGAAAAGGCAACTTTTGGCAAGTGACAGGAAATGTTTTTGGGAAGCGTAATGCCAGTTGGACCTACCACTGTACACTCTGAACAGGTGCAGTTATGAACAAATCCAGAGGAGAAAGGGTAGAACTGGAAAAAGAGCAGTACAGGACAATTAAAAATACTTTTACATGATTTTCCCATATAATCAAGGGTTATTTTTACTGGCACTACAAAAAAATGACAGAGGAGGATAGCCAAGGGACATGAAGTTAAGAATTGCAAAGAATAATTTGAAGATTTCTAGGCAACGAAGACCTTTGTGGCACTGATAAGAATCTACCACTTTGAGGGAGGATCCACGTCACGATGTTACAATGTGCGGTCTTGATACTCTGAGACTGCCATTGATACTTTTGCTGCTGGAGGTCATTTAGACCTAAACCATCTTGTAGAGATGGTGATCAGGTAGACAAAGCCTTGCTGGTCTCAGGGATATCGCAAAATCCCTGATAGACCCAAGGGAAGTACTTCAAGCCCGTGGTAAACAGGCAGCCCCTAGGCTGATGAAATCAGGACGCTCTGGAAGGAAGGAAGTGAAAAGAGAAAATGAGTCCATCTGGTGAGATAATTTTTCTATTTTGCTAAAGACTGCCCAAAGAAATATTTCTTTAAAGCCAAATTAGATCCTTAAACAAAAGAACTGAGTGGCGAAAATAATCCTAACGGGATTGCTGTGGAAAGTTTTTTTCCCTTTGTCTTTCTAACTATTTTTTGTGGATTGAAATGCTCATAACGTTCTTCATCTCACCTCTTAAAGTGAACGGATTGATTTTTTTTCTTCTTCTGCTTCTTGTTGCCTTATTTTTTGACTTCTGGATTAAAACCTTTCTTTTTATTTTAACAATTCTTCCTACTACTCGTTATTAAACCACANGTATAAAAACAAAACTTTTCCAAAAATTCACTTTCCAATAAATGATGATTGAGATTTATCTTCTGCTTTTCCAAGCTCTAATTTATAGCTTTTTCTCTTCTAAAACAGCAACGCCACATTTCCATTTGTTTTGTGTTGCTACCTTAACACTAATTACCTGAAAAAAGTAGCGTATTTTCATCTAAACAGTTATTTCTTAAAATGCAGAGACCAACTTAGATTGCTGAAAGACAAGTTTCTTCCAACTACCATGTTTCCCCGAAATTACGACATGTCCTGATAATAAGACCCTGCCATATTTTTCCTGTGGGCAAAAATATAAGCCCTCCCCCAATAATAAGCCCCTTGGACAACCCCCCCCCCCCAGCCAGGCAGAGTGCCACTCACCAACCTAGTGATATCCCGAAGGCGCAAAGCCGCTGGAGCCGGGGGGAAGGGGGCAAAGGCGCTCACATTGCTTGATGCCTTTGGGATACCGCTAAGTTGGTGGGTGGTGCTGTGCCCAGCTGGAGCGGGGGGTGCCAGACAGCTCTTTTCATGAGCAGCCACCCAGCAATGCCTCTTTCCAGCCGGGCAGAGCACCACTCATCGACCCAGTAATATCCCAAAGGCGCTAAGCCGCATGGCACTCTCCCGGCTGGAAAGAGAGGTTGCACGAACACTTATTCTGCCTCCAGCTCGTGTGCCTCCCTGGCTCACCATGCCCAACTCTCCCTGCAGGGCTGGGCCAGGGCACCACGGCCACCCCGCTGCAACCATGCTCCGAGCATAACCAGCTCCCAAACTCCGGATATCTGCTGCTGAGTCTTCCGGCAGCGGCCACTCTGGGACTACGCTCTATGGTTGTGGGCTGGAGTCTTCCCACAGCCAGCCCACAACCATAGAGTGTAATCCCAGAGTGGCCGCTGCCGGAAGACTTGGCAGCGGATCTCCAGAGTTTGGAA